ATTGATTTTTTGTACGATAAGAATTATTTCTTCGTTGATTTTATTCATGGAGCTTCACCAAAAACTTTATGGATATCAATTTATTTCATGGTAAATTACATATTGTGCAATCGTGCTGTCAATAAGTTTTTGACTTATGTAATATAAAGGGAATTGTAATCATGCAAAACGTTTACCTTGGTTAGGTAAGTATCTTTTTAAAGGAATGAGAAAATGATTATGTTTAGTTGTTTTCGCCTTATGTATAAAAATACAGCTATTTTCGGTAGAAAATTCAGGTGTTTACAAATACGTGTTTGATGTAGTACGGTTATGAAGTTGATAATAATCCCGAAATTTCCGTCATAGTTTTTTGTTATAAATTGTAATGTTAACCAATTTCCTAATAAACAGTTCTGTATAAGTTAAATTATTCTAATTCAATTTATTACCTTGGAAATATGAAAATCTTTATCCAAAAAAAAAGGAAATAATAATGATATCTAGTCCTATTCAGATTAGTTTAAAGAACATACGTATGTAAGACAGAAGTAGGAAAATAAGGGAAAAAAGAAACGGAAGTTAATCAAAATTAAAACAAATCATTATGAGTTAACTTGAAGCACAGAAACAAATGACACTTTTTAGAACAAAATAATTTAAAGTATCAAACATTAATGATTATTGATGATTGACCAAAAAAAATAAAAGAATATCCGGTTCTATTTAGGTTGCTTATTAAAGTTTTTTTTTATTTATTCTTAAACTGATTTCTATGTTTAAAGTCAGAAGCTAATATTCGAAGAGTTGGGTTTATGTGCTTGTGTACATACGTTGGCCATAAATTGTCTAAAAATTGTCTTATAAAAAATCACTGGGCAATTTCACTATATATTTCTGTTTCTATGCCATTCTTCAATTTTAGTTTAAAAAAATCTTATCGCAATGAATCCAGATATCTTACAACACTAATAAATTAAATGAATATCATTCTATTACAGATATAATAAGACAACAACAACAAGGAAAAGTAATTTAACTCTTGTAATTATATTCAATTCTGATAGAAATATCTGAAATAAATTGTGGTTGGGAATAATCTATTTTCGATGTGTACTTTCTTTTAAGGCCTACACTGAAACTAAAGTTTATTGTATCATATAGAGGGGAAATGTCATTGTATTAAAAATCACTTACAAGAAGATATCATGTTATTGGTATTGTATAAACGTAAATTGTAGTAGTAAATAAAGGTCAAATCGATAAATGATATGTCATCACTTGATATTAGAGACTATGTAGATAGAATTTGTACTTCTAACAAGTATGAAAGTACAATACGTAAACATTAAATGCTTGGAAGTCATCGAAGTCCTATACTATAATGAAACGGCTGTTGAGTGCTTCCAGGTTTTCAGTGGTGGCCTAACATTAATCCGTTCATGATCTCAATCAAAATTAAAATTTCGATAGTTGAGATGATAAGTCAATTGAAATTAGAACACCATGGAAAACCTGGAAGCACTGGATGGCCGTCTCATCCTATTGTGGAACTCCTCAGCAGTGCACTTCCACAATCCCACCTCGCGAAATTACAACTCAGAATCTATCAGTCTCGCGTGCGAACACTTAACCACTAGACTACCGAGCTGGCCGGCATCCAATGTTTAACTTCAACCAATCCATGAAATTGAGCAACCATTCACCAATGTCTTCAGTGAGTTGATATCTCCCAACAGACCTGGTTGAACTGCACTGGTTACTTCTTCTCACTAGAACTCCAGGAAATACCTCTTGAAGCCAGTCACTAGTAAGCATATGTTGGTTAATATTATCAAATAGCATACAACGCTTCATATGCACATTCATATTTAAAGCTTCTCGATTCATGCTCAGATATTGATCTTTTTGTAATAAGAAAATACGAGTCATAAGATGTGGAAAAAGTGGAGACGTTGAGTTTAAATGATAGTTAAGTAAGTTGTTCGTTAATTTGTTGTATTTTGATTCAAAATCTTTAAATGTAACATTTTTTATGTATCACCCAGCTGTGTTTAACTAATGAAAGCCATATAGTTTCAACCAGTTTAGTGACTAAAGTACATGCAACTATTCGTGGCTATATGAAAAGAATGAAGTGACAATTATATCTTTTAGTTCGATACTTACAAGACAGAATTAGGGTTCAAATCGTAATAACCTTCTTTTTTTCATTTTGTAACTCTCTTTCCATTTGTTTTATAAACTATTCTCTGGATTTTAAATAGGGTAATCTGTTATTTTAGACAACTGACAAGTGACTGAACTTTTTATGTGTGATTCCTGAATTTCACTGATTGTTCAAGTTACCGATCAAAGTGACGTCTATGAAATGACCCACCATTAGACTGATTCATTGTTAAAGGTGTCTCGGTTCAACGTCTATATGAGACTGTATAATAAGTTTATTAAGTCGATGAGAGTTATACAAATGTTTATAGTTAGAAATGATTTCGAAGCAATACAGGAATGCTTTAGAATGAAAACCACTTTCTTTTTCACCAAATAAAACTTCAGTCATTGTTTACAAAACCAGAATGTTTCATGCATTATTACTATTGCAAAAATAATATCCGAATTGCTATTTCTCCTTGAATGATCATATCACTATGTTCTCATTCTTTTGAACTTTGTACTTATTCAACTGGAATGATTTAATTTCTAACTTTATTCCCTCATCAACATATTTGTAAAATATCTGATAAAACATAATCTTAAACGTAATATAATTTCTAGATTATTATTATGATTAGCTTGACAATTCATTTGATTAAATCTAAATGTGAAAATATACACTTAGATTTTTAAACGTCATTACCATCTATTTCTAGGATTCGGTTATATTTCTCATGATGATTAGAAATTTTCAGATGTTATATACATTGTGGAAAAGTATTTTTATTTGCGTACGTTAATATAAAGAAGGAGAAATTTGTGTTCCCCTACAGATGACCTTGACGATAAAAATGTGATTATTAATGATAATAATAATAATAATAATAATGTCAATATTAATTGATTTTTCTTTTATTCTTCTATAGAATTTAACTTTTTTTTTAAACAGAAAGAACAAATATTGGCATATTTTAAGAAAATGTTTTCACAAATTACTGATAGTATATTAGTATATGTTTGATCCTACTTATATTTATCTGCTGTGAAGAAATCACCCAACTGCGTCACAAGACAAACCCTCACATGGAATCCTGAAGGTCAATGGAAAAGAAGAAGACCAAAGAACACATTACGCCGAGAAATAGAGACAAACATGAGAAGAATGAACAAAAGTTGGTTAGAACTGGAAAGGAAGGACCAGGACAGAGTGGATTGGAAAATGCTGGTTGGCGGTCTATGCTTCATTGGGGGTAATAGGCGCAAGTAAGTAAGTAATTGAACAACTACATTCAAATTATACACAGTTTAATTGATGCGAATCACTTGTTAGCCTCCTGTACATAATACACTTAATTATATGAACAAAATAACTATAAAAATGACAAAAATTTCCTTTTTCCTTAATAAAAACAATAACATAGAACCTAGTAATTGTGATATATTATACAAACTACGAATATTTCATTCACAAACTATAAAAACTAAGAATAGTAAAAAAACAATACTTATTAACAAGGTAAAAATACATTTGATGTATACCCTTATGTATTCAATATGGTTTTAATTAACTATAAACATATATCCTTTGTAAATTAGGATTTAACACTAAACACATGTAGGTTGAATGAAACTTAGTAAACTATGTAATGTTAGTACTATGTTATTCGAACCACAGCTAATTGTAATCATAAATGATTTGACCAGATATTTATAACTTTCTTAGATATTATCAAATAACTAATTTGGTTTATTAATATAAAAAAGAAAAGAATGTTCATGAATGATCTTTTTGATTAATTCATGATCTTATCAAAAGGGAGTTTGTGTAGATTTTAGTTATTTTCTATAGTTGAAATCATGAGTCATTTGAAGCTAGACCACCATGGAAAACCTGGAAGCACTGGACAGCCGCCTCATCCTATCGTGGGACTCCTTAGCAGTGCGCTCGCGCGCGAAACTGATAGGTCCTGGATTCGAATCTCGTGAGGCGGGATCGTGGATGCGCACTGCCAAGGAGTTCCTCAATAGGACGAAACGGCCATCCAGTACTTTCAGGTTTTCTATGGTGGTCTAGCTTCAATTGACTCATGATTTCAGCTATATATAATTCATTATCTGACGTTTACTTATCATTGGTTTTATCTATCAGTATATTTTTGAGATAACCTAGTGAGTAGAAAAGTGTATTTTTGATGTTCTGCGACAGAATGTAAGTTATTTCTTCAAAGTAAATACATTTCTATTAATCATTATATAATTATTAATAAGACATTTGATTATCTTCTTCAAGTGTTCAATAAAGTAAAGGACAAAAAACTCTCAACCATATATATTTACTGACAGAAATTTATCACAATATCAGTCAGAAAAATACTTGGATTATTGTTTATAGTGAGTCTAACTAAACTGTCACGTTCATTACAGAAAAAGAAATCCTATACTAAATGTAACACCACCAGATAGTACTTATTAGTTCATCTGTATTTAATCCAGATTAAAAGCAAAATCGTACTAAAAAAATTGCGAATACAGTTAGACAAAACCTAATATTGTGATGTTGCTAGTGTTATTGATAAGTATTATTATTATTATTATCAAACATGAGACAATGTAGTATTATCAATAACTCATAAAGCTCATGGAAAACAACACATCTAACAAACCACTGTACACATACACCTAACGAACAACAGTGATCACTCAGATATCTATGTATTGAAGTTCTACGATTATCAAAAAAATCTAATAAATGATCTCAGTTTCAGTAGTAATTTAGCATTTACTATCAGAAATAACTAATAAATTCTGAGAATACTAATTAAAGTAAGCTTTTAATAAAAACTGAATATTTGCAAAATGTGACTTACCCATTGTTTTCATAATTTTTTTTATTTAATTCCCAGTATTTGAAATTTGTATAAAATCTTGAATCGTTCGATCATAAAAACACGTCGTAGATATTTACACCGATAGTATTTTAAAAATCTATTTCCCTCCACTCTCGGAAAGAGATTTTGTCACGTTCTCTGTTTGACCTGATAGGCAAATATTACAGTAAAAGGGTGAGAAAAATTGGGCTCCGTATTTTGATTGGTAGATCTCAAGGCCATGTGTGATTTAACCTTGATAATTTGATTCGACTAGTTTACAATAATTGGGGACAGACCTTCGTCCGATCAAATAATGGTTTATAACCAGTGTCTTTTAGTGATTATATCTCAATAACAAAAAGAAATTTTAATAATAATAATAATAAATATGTTCCCACGGTAAAGAAATTCACAATAGTATTCGATATCATATGAAAACTTCATATGATTGAAATTTTTATTTCAGTAGAAAAATAGACTGCCCTGTTGACAGTGGGTGGACAAAAGTGAAAAATAATAGTTGAAAAAGTGGGAAATTTTAGGTAACTTAATAGAAAATAAGGAAATATAAGTATAAGCCATATTGATTGAAATATTAATTCAACTGGTCATCATATCCAGATATAATGTAGATAGGTTCTGTCTAGTTGATATATTTTGAACGACATTCCTATAGGAAATTTAACGTAGAATTAATAAGATATAGACCCCGAATGCCCTGGTATGGCCAAGAGTGGGTAGAGTCCGCTCTCCCTTTCCCAATGCTCTCATACGGCTACGCGTATGTAGCCTCTGCAAGGGGAGTCCTACTCACTGCCTTCCCGCAAACGGGATGTTGTTTACGAAATTGAGAGCACGAAATGCAAATGTCCGGAGCTTAAACCGGGTTTGTGGACACAGTGAGTCCATCTAGGGGAGTTGAAAAACCCTGACTCCAAACCAATGGTACACATGGGCTCCAGTACCCTAAGGGAACAAACGGAATATGAATCAATCGTTGGTCATCGGCTACCATGGGACTGCATCTCCTTACGTTACTCCACTCCCTTGTGGATCAGATCTTTAGGTCGAGGGCTCCAGGTGTGGCCCCCTAAGAAAACCACTTGCTTCGGTCTGGGCACCTGGACAGTATCACAGCCCTCACACAAATCAAATGAGATTTGTGTGGCGCATTTATATCTGGTTCGCTTTTGTACCAATATTTATGTGATCAAATAAATAATATCTATTCGCTACTGATAAATTGACACTTTGTCACTAGAAATCAAAAAAGTTTAAATAACCGCCTTTAAAATATTAGCTGATAATCTAATTACTTATTTATCAACTATACCATTCATTCCTACATTACTCAAAGACAACTGGTTAATAAATGTGAACCAGCTTCTATATCAATGAAGTTCCCAGAAGACAATCACTGAATTAAAATAACCAAACTCTTAAATAGCAACGTCAAACTTATCTGATGAAACATACCATTAGAATAATTATTTGAATTAAGCAGTAGTAAGATTTCTTAACTATATTATCATTATTAGAAAAGTTGATTTCGCCTTATGTTAATTTGCTTTGAATTATCTATGATATGTGAACTTAAAAATGTAAATTATTTTTTTATTCTTATTCTAGTTAATCAGTAAATTATTTAATAATTTAAATTCATTTGGGAATTATGCCTGAATTCTGCATTAATAATCAAAGTTCATTATTCAGAAATTGAGTATGATTAAAAAACGTATATTAATTAGCTTTAATTTATAAATCTACACATCATAATTTACTGATTTTATGATAACTCAATGAGTAGAACTTTGTATTCCTGATGTTTCGTAACTTCACGTGAGTCACATCTTCAGAGTATACTTGTGTTAATTTTATTTCGGTTACTTATTCATATAATCTGAAGGAATGAATTACGTTAAGTCATGAAACTTCAGAAATACAGATTTTTACTCATTGGGATATCACAAAATGTGTTTATTATTTTAATGAATCGGATGAGTTGATTAAGACAAGGAATGAACATGAATGAAATGATTTTCATTCAACTTCTCATGAATAATACACCACTAGCTAGTCATTATTTAATTTCAACGAGTTGAACAAGCAAAATCATATTAAACATAACATGTAACTGTTAAGATTTTAAGAATTATGGGAATGATAGGTGAATTTAAACCGAAATCTTAGGTATAGACAAATTTTTGTAGTAAATCTTTAGGTTTATATCTCGACACTCAAACGACTGACATTAAAACACCTGACTGCTAATCTCTTCAGATCTCTAGCTGATATATGGATGAAAATAGTCCGTAAACGTTTTTCCTCACAAATCTATAAATATCTCACTTATCAAACCTATTCGTAAATTACGCAATATCCATTCGTATATCAGAACGTAAATATTATTCTTAAATAAGCTTATCGGTTATACTATGTTATATCATTTTCAAACAGTTAGTCTTCCACAGATATTTGTTTTTGTACACGTTGACTAGGATTTTGATTTCACATAAAATCTATCTTAATCAAATATATATGATTTTGCCTGTTAACATCTATACAAGTGGAAATGTAGTGAACATAACACTAATTGGGGACGATCGAGTGTAACTACACACGAATTACAGACTATCTCACTAAATTCTGTTAACCATACAGTGAATAGTTAATTTGCAAAATAACAACCAATTGTCTCAATCTTCATTGTTCCTTCTGTAAATATCAGTTCATCATCTCTAATTTCATTGTTCATGCATTTTCCTACCAATTGCGTTTCATTTCAGTTCTTTCCTTATCGGCCTTCTGCCAAAATACATTCTATGTCTGACCATCACCTTAAACTATTTATATGAATATAAGTAGACCATACTACAGTAATACAATAAATATGTATCTTTATCAATCAGGTCAAATGGCAGGAATCTTTAAATATATATTCACAAGGACAAACTGTAATATTTGGAAGACTTCAATTTATGTATATTATTATAAAGAGTAGAAACGTTTCATATACTCATAAGTCTAATTGGTGTACATATATTCATCATTGTTAATATTCACTGACCTGCATCCCTCCAGTTACAAGAAAGTTGACAAAAATTAGGTAGTAAATTAATCCTGTTTCAAACGAGTTGATTTAACTGCGTGACTTGATCTACGTTATAGTATGACATTAGACGTTACTTTACGAATTCATTTCGAATAGGATATAAATAGCTTACAATAGACTTTAGTGCACTAAACATTCATAAATTTATTAATTACAAAATAGTCTGACTGACATAAAATTAATACAATAATATTGGAAATTCCTTGATCAGATTTCGATTTCTCCTAGTTTGTTTTAAGTGAATCAGTGACTGGTCAATTGTACAAACATTTGAAACCAATTTCTTTAGACTTGTAAGATCAAAATGTTTCAACTAGACAACCTTGAATCCATGATCACATGATCAAGTCTTATCCTAACATTAGCGCATTATGAAAATTTTGAAACAACATTTATTGACAGGTATTTAGATTGTATAAATGCGAATGATATATTTTTGATAACAGTGTGGTGGTCGTTATTCGATATAATTCATAAACTTTGTATACTGCTCGTCCTGATAACCTTTACTAGATAACCCCCTCAACGGTGCATAACACAGAAGACGAATACGAAGCGTTGATTACATTTATAATCGCGCCACACACAAATCACAGAAACCATAGGCATTACTTTCTGGTTAACGAATTTTTAGCAAGTTAGTTTTTCTACGAGATGGGGTCTCTAACCCCATGCTCAACCCTCCTCCTTTACCCGGGCTTGGGACCGGCAGTAACTCTAGAAGAGCTACAGGCGGGGTTAAAACCATAGGCATACGAAGCTAAAATGATATGCGAGCGCCAAAGAGCAAGTGAGCGAGTGAACCCACGAGTCGAATCATTAGCATTAAAATGTACATACATATATACATAGGAAAATGAATTAATCATCAAATCAATTAAGCGACTAACACTAAAGTAAGAAGAATGAATATGTGAGTAGGTGGTAAGCAATGCTCAAGCATACATGTTCGTACAAACGCAACAATAATAAAGGTACAAATGGTATAGCGAAGTTGTTCTTGTACTAATGACTCTGTCTGTTAAATAAGTTAACAAAATGGCTTAACCAAATTAAATGTGAATAAACTCAAATGTACGTGAGTCGCTATTACAGTATAAATGAGAAAAGGATAAAATTTGTTTTCAACATGTATTTTTTATGATAATTTACAGAAAAATTGTATAAACAATTTCATAAGTTCAATAAATGAATAAATGGTTCATACGAAATATTCAAAAGTAACTATAATATATTTGACTTATCAATCTAGCTTCAACTGACTAATGATCTCAACTATATAAAATTACTAAAATCTCCACAAAACCCCCCTTCTGATAATGACCATATGCTCACTAGTGACTGGCTCCATGAGGTATTTCCTGGAGTTCTAGTGAGAAGCAGTAACCAGTGCAGTTCAACCAGGTCTGTTTGGAGATAGTAACTCACTGAAGACATTGGTTTTGTGGAGATTTTAGTATATAGTTGAAATCATGAGTCAATTGAAGCTAGACCACCATGAAAAACATGAAAGCACTGAATGGAGAAGGGTTGCTCAATTTCGTGGATTGATTGAAGTTAGACATTAACACCGTTGGTTGCCGGCTCACTGGCCTAGAGGTTAAGTGCATGCGCGCGAGACTTGATAGATCCTGGGTTGGAATCTCGCGAGGCTGGATCGTAGATGCGCACTTTTGAGGAGTTGCACAATAGGACGAGTTGGCCGTCAAGCAGTGCTTCCATGTTTTCCATGGTGTTCTAGCTTCGACTGACTCATGATCTCAACTATATAAAAATACAAAATATAGATAAACACAAAAAGTATCTTATTCAAAAAGTCATTTATCTATTTATCTAAATGTTTTCTACTATGTTTACTGAACATAATAATTTCTTGAAAAGGAAGTTAAAAAACAAAATGAAGTCAATCACAAGTATTTATCAAACAAGATTTATGTAAACTTGAAGATATTTGAATGGATAAAAATTTTCATTGTTTCTTTCTTTTTTTGTTTCTTTTATTTGTAACTATTCACTATTCATTTTCTGTCATAATATGTTGGTTTCAAAATTAGTAATCATCAAGTTTAGAATATAGTACATACTTAATAGTTATCCCAAAAAAGCCTATTTTTCTTTTGACTACCAATTTTATGATGAAGATTAATATACCTTCATGTTGACAATAATATAGTTTACTTCATGTCAACACTTCTTCATGATACTGAATCACATTTTCAACAGCACATAACTTATAAATATTAGAGTATCTTATTCATCTTATCTGTTTCTGACATATATGAGCTAATAGGCAGCTTTTGAAGGATTTCGATTTAGTTTTTTTAACTTATAAGCAACAATAATTATATTGAGATGCATGTACATCCAACTGACGAGTCCCAAATAGGACGAAACGCGCGTCTTGGATTCCAGTGCTAACTACTATCCATCTTTGCTCACAATAATTGTGTTGGTTATGAAACTTATGCGTTGATAGTATATACATTGACAAAAGTGATAACGGCATCTCATTAACTGATATTCGACCTTCCAGAAAAATACATCGGAAAGTCAT